CTCCAGCAACCCTCAGTTTGTTTCCTGAGATTAAGAATTCCTCATATCAGTGAAATCATATGATACATGTCTTTCTCTGATTGACTTATTTCACTTAGCATAATACCCTCTAGTTGCATCCATGTCGTTGCAAATGGCAAGATTTCTGGAAAACAGTATGAAGGTTCCTCAAAAAGTTGAAAATAGAGCTACCCTACGACCCAGCAATTGCACTAATGGGTATTTACCCCAAAGATACAAATGTAGTGATCCAAAGGGGTACGTGCACCCCAATGTTTATAGCAGCAATGTCCACAACAGCTGAACTATGGAAAGAGCCAAGATGTCCATCAACAGATGAATGGATAAAGAAGATGTGGTGTGTATATATACAATGGAATATTAAGCAGCCATCAAAAATACTCTATTATCTTATGCCAGAAATGAGCATGTTTCAAACATGCTAGACTCAAGCATGTAAGTCCAAATCTCATCCTGAAGTTAGTGGCGGATAAAGCCTTAGCAAAGTATATGTCCACATCATCTGAGTTTTACTGTGCCCCTTTGCCTCGTAATATCCTATAAAAAACTTAGATTTTGTGACACCATCCTATCCATGCTGACTTTTTCCTTTTCTCAATCATCATCTGCAGCAGGCTCTTAAAATAAGCTCTGGGGTGTTTATTTTCTTGGGGCCAGGACTGTGTGCTTAAGACCCAACTCCTTTTCAATTAGAGAAGCTCTCCTTTTATCTCTGTTGTATACTGAAGCTTGATTCAGTGATATTTCATTTGGAAAAAAGTCTGTTGCTACAACAAGTTTGAAGAATTTGTTTACTCAATACATATAGCCTTTACTCTCTGCTCTGAAACTCATATTTAGCTATTCTTGTGCATTTTGTAGGATGAGTCGAACAATCTTAGCATGGGACATAAGAGTGATGTAGAGTCACATAATTTACCTGCCCCAATAATACCTTCTAGAACATTTCCTATTTATGCTTAGTTATCTGCTAAGTCACAATCTGATTAACCGTATAGTTTGCCAACTACATGGACTTTGTAGAAAAATCTTCCTTTTAGTAAGCTGGCTTTCGTAACACACTAGAAATATTTCAGGTACAACAAGGCCTTTGCACTAGGCCTTAAAAGGAGGTTATACAGCGTGAAAAGAAATCTGCATATAAGAATACCCACTGAAGAAAGGCTAAGGACAGAGCTGAGGGGATATAGTGGCAAACAGTTTTGCGGGGAAGGACATAATGCGATATGAGCTGAGAGAGAATATGAGAAAAGAAATCAATAGGATTAATCTGGGTAGATGGATGGGAGGTAGGCAGGAGAGTTTATCTGGTGGCAGTAAGGGAGATGTATAGGAGAAAGAACATTAAGACAGAAGAGGGAAAACTACATGAACCATCAAAAGAAAGCAAAAGAGAAAAAAGTGACATTCTGTGGAAGAGGTAAGAGAAAATAAGTTTTAAGCACATTGCTGAATTCCAGGAACTTGTTCCTTTCAATTTAGCAGTTTACCATATTATTATCCTAATACTCTGAATGATCACCTTCAGCTTTCTCCCTACACGGGCAAAAATGTCCTAAGGCTCTATTCTGTCTCTGTTGTCTAATAGCAGGATAATCTTAGATAATGGGACCAGCAATTCTCAGGCTTTCTGGACTCAGGATAACTTTATACTCTTGAAAAATGATGGAGATTCCCAAAGCAGTTTTGTTTATGTAGGCTAAAAATATTAAACTTACTAAACTGGAACCAAAACTAAGAAATTTTTAAAATA